GGTGGTAGCTTTTAATGTAACATTTACTGTTCTGGTGGTAGCTTTTAATGTTACATTTACTGTTCTGATGGTAGCTTTTAATGTTACATTTACTATTCATGTGGTAGCTTTTAATGTTACATTTACTTTCTGGTGGTAGCTTTTAATGTTACATTTACTGTTCTGATGGTAGCTTTTAATGTTACATTTACTTTCTGGTGGTAGCTTTTAATGTTACATTTACTGTTCTGGTGGTAGCTTTTAATGTTACATGACTGTTCTAGTGGTAACTTTTAAAGTTATATTTACTGTTCTGGTGGTAGCTTTTAATGTTACATTTACTGTTCCGATGGTAGCTTTTAATATAACATCTAATAGTCTGGTGGTAGCATTTAATATAACATCTAATAGTCTGGTGGTAGCATTTAATATAACATCTAATAGTCTGGTGGTAGCATTTAATATAACATTTACTTTCTGGTGGTAGCTTTTAATGTTACATTTACTGTTCCGATGGTAGCTTTTAATGTAACATTTACTGTTCTGGTGGTAGCTTTTAATGTTACATTTACTGTTCTGATGGTAGCTTTTAATGTTACATTTACTGTTCTGCGTAAAATCAAAGGACCAGAGGTGTAGTTTAATGGGTAAGAAATACGTAAAATCAAAGGACCAGAGGTGTAGTTTAGTGGGTAAGAAATACGTAAAATCAAAGGACCAGAGGTGTAGTTTAGTGGGTAACAAATACGCCCAGATAAACAATGAGTGAGTGTGTTTGTTTGTTTCAGTGCAAAGATACACAACAAGCTATCAGCCTACCACAGGGAATCGCACCCTGGATTTCATCGTTGTAAGTCCGAAAGCGTACCGCTGATCCACCAGGGGGAGTGATTTAGTGATAGTTTAGTAAGATTCTTTGTTTGTTTTGAAGTTAAAAACAAAGCTACACAACGGGCTATCCGTGCTCTGCCCACCACGGGTATCGAAACTCGGTTTCTAGCGTTATAAGTCCGCAGACATAAGTTTAGTAGGAAGGAAATATATTAGACCGGAAAGCTGGAGATAGCCTAGTAGGTAAGAAAAAGTAGTTCAACGACAGTAATGAGTAATAGGCCTAGAATTTGTAATAACAAAAAAAAACACTTTATACTACACATTTTTTTACACTCCTTTTTATCTGTGCATCACTTCAAAATTAGGGACGGCTAGCGCAGGTAGCCTTTGTGTAGCTTTGCGCGAAATTCAACAAACAAACTTTTCTGATACATTTTTTTCTTGTTTGATGGTCAAAAAACTTTTTTGTTTACACAGATTAGCAAAAATAACGTTCTTGTTCATAAGCAAAACTACGGTATTAAATGTTTAATTGATTTTTTTTTAGAAACAAAATAAAAATATATAGAAGTAGAAAATGCAAAAATAGCGACCTTCTTTGTTAGGTTTAAAATAAGTTTCTTGTGTACAACGACATATAAACATAGGGAAAAAATCTATGGTTTAATGCTTACAAATACACTAACAGGGTTTAATACATATCAATGTTTTTTTCAACTACTTTTAACTGTAAATAAAATTCGTAAATCTAACTAGTTTCAAAGTGATTATAAAATACTTAGTTAAGCACAAAACTACACAATGGATTATCTGTACTGTGCCCACCACGGGTACCGAAACCCAGTTTTTAGCCTTATAAGCCTTCAGACTTACCGCTCCGTCACTTCGAGAGTGGTGGCTTTAAAAATATTAAAATTACTTGTCTGGTGGAAATTTCTAATATATCCTCTCTAAACCTAAACATGCAATACGAAATATCCAATAGAAAATAACCCTCTGAACTTTTCACACGCCCCATGATTTAACTGATACTTGATCTATAAATTTAAAAGCACGTCTGAACTGTAATAAACCAATTATTCCGGCTACAACTGTAAAAATTTGCTCAAAGCTGAAAGTTTTTTTTCTTCACCTATCCAACTGATAAAAAGAAAAAAATATACAAACTATTTGAGTTAAGAATTCAGGCCCCTATGTGTAGTCGTAACATGAGCCAAGTTTTTACAAGATCAGCCTGACTTCTAATGTTAAAGGACTATTAGCATGGCCTGGCTCTCACTAAGACAGCCTGCTTTCTCCGTGCTTACTAAGACAGATGACCTTCTCGTACCTGTGCTATTTTGGGCTTAAGTCGTAGCTCATCCAAGAAGATGCAAAGAGGGAAAGAAAGTGAGAGCTGTGAGATATCAGGAAGAATTGTTAGCCACCCCGCTTTCACTTTCATTGTGCATTAACACTTCAAGATGGAAACAAGACGGCGTATTTCGCATTCCTATAAGTAACAAAACCAAAACTTAATGAGCAAGCAGGAGAATTTCTTTACAACAGCCCGCACGCCACGAATCGAGTGTTGACAAATGCACAAAAAAAAAAATTATAATAATAAAGAATCGGTTGAAGTCGGAATCAAGAACTTCCGAAAATCAAACGTTAGTCAACAATAATGACAGAGTTTCAAGCAAAGAAAAATACGACTGTTAATGAAGCCTAATGTTTCAAATTTAGAAGAAAAAACACACAAAACGAAAACAGGATTTTGGATGAGAAATCAACTGCTCCCTATTGGTCGAAACGAATCTTGTACGACTTACGTATTCTAGAGCAAAAATATTACGCGATGCCTAGAAAAAAAAATATACACTGCTGCCTTAAAACAACTATAAATACTTTAATAGTTGTAGCTAATGTAGTTGTCGTTTCGAAGGGGGAAAGAAGGGTTTAAAACGTTATATTAAAACGAATTTTCATAAAGAAGGCAGGAAGTCACGTGCCGCCGATATATTGTCGTGATGTATCAGATGTATTGTGGCATAAATTGACATTTGTAGGTGGAGTGGTGCCACCGAAACCTCATTATTTTTGGGAAGAGTACGTCACTACCATTTACGACGTAAAATATCTATATACTCAGATCATAAAGGTGTGTTCATAACGGGGATATTGTACTATTATATTATATATACCAATAGCACTGGGAGAAAAATAATATGGATCAACTTGAGATACCAAGACCATCCAGAAAGAGACTTGCAATAAGTTGTACCATAGTCGTTGTAAACGAAGCTTGGTGTTTTGTAACGGGTGAAAATCTATGAAAACAAGGGTCAGTCAGTGGCAAAACGCGTCCACGAGCCAGGCAACAGTGTGCGACACAATAAAAAAGATCTTCGTCTGGAAAAGTAACACAGATCACGTGCACATACCCGTTCAACTGCCTCATACCTCAAACAGCTGGAGAATAGTCATTGCTACGTCAAAATCTATCGTCAGAATAATCATTACTACGTCAAAATCTACCAAAGGAATAGTCATCACTATGTCAAAAGCTATCACCAGAAAGTAAATGTTATATTAAATGCTACCACCAGAACAGTAAATGTAACATTAAAAGCTACCATCGGAACAGTAAAT